TATATATATATATATATATATATATATATGCGCCGTTTAATATGTTTCTCTTTGGAATTGTATTGCTATCTAACACAAACACTGAACACATTTGATTCCCAGTATGGTAACCAACATGTCATCCCCAATAGTTAGTTAGCTAAATCATAATCCAAATACAGTATTTTTGTATGGAGTTCCTGCACCAGTCGCACTACAGACTTCAGACTATAGAGTCAAATTTGTGCTTTTGACTAGCGTTCCATTCATAGTCCAAGATAACCACCATTTCTTCTGATTGCAGCACAGCAATAAATGCCTTTCTCTCTCTGTGGAGAAAGGGACGCTTTTTATTTTCAAGGATTTTTTTTTCCTCATAAAGCCAATCAAAAATTGATTTAGGACACATACGGTCCCTCGTGGAACAAAAAATGGCAGTAATATACTGTAGCCGTCCATCAATCTTTTTTTTTTTTTGGTTTACCGCTTGTCCTGTCCAGGGTCACTCATGAGCCCCTCCCATTTTACGAGAGGCTGGTCCACCCTAGACCGGTTGCCAATCAATCACTGAGGAAAATAATTTATATTATTTAAATCCATTAAAACAATGAAGTCTATGAAGGATATCCAAGGTTTCTCATTGGTATGCAGAATAATGCGAAACTCAGTTCCCCCACCCGCCCAGCATTTCATTTTCCAAGTGTGACTGGGTAAAGGAATGAAAAAAATATGTAGGCGATTACTGTGTTGAACAATTTGGTTCTGCTTAATATAGACTCCTTTGATTTGGTCCCGGGCCCCTGAGATGAGCGCTGGTGAGGAATGATTGCAATGCACGAAGGAGCAGCAGCTCATTGGCTCGTCAGGCACTTCAGCATAATACCAGGTCATCCCTGCTGGAGTGTGGAATCGGGCCTAATTAAAGCAAAATGCTTTATCAAGAGTCTGGGCGAGCCAGAAGCGCTAATAAAGCAAGGAGCCTGCAATTTCCTGAGATTTCTCAAACTGATAAAGCTTTCTATTAAAACAAGGATGTTTGGAATGGCTGTGTCCTTTGTTATTTGTTGCAACATCCCTTGGTGTTGAGTGTGAACAACATTCACGATATGGACAAATCAATGAAACATGCATTGATTAAACAATCAATATATGTCGTATTTGCTCCAGTCAAAGAGTTTAGAAAAGTATCTGGCTCCAACTTCATAGGGGGCAGTTTTATAAAGGCCATGTTTTGCTCCCAGTTCCAGCAAGACCTTTAAATCGTGAGTGTGTATGGTGCGGAAGAACACAATCGGAACAAAGCCAAGCAGGCTCTCTCTCGTATCCAAACAAAATTCCCACAGACACTCCACATTATTGTAGAACACGTTTCCAGAAGAGTAGAAACGAACGACCAATTTCACTTCCCGTATATGCACTAAAAATATCCCCATAATAATAGAGAATGTAAAATAATGCAAAATTCTAATCAACTTTAAAGAATATTTGATTTAAAACAAACAAACAAACACGCTGGAGCACGTTGAAGGACCTATCTATAAGGGCATGTTGTCGTTTGTACGTTTTGACAGCTTTCAAATGATGTTACTCTCTAATCCGTCATCCGTGAGGTTTATGCTACGGTTCAAGAAATACAGTTTTGATTTTTTTTTCTGTCTCTTGTGGCCCAGTTGGGATATATATGAAGGCGGTGTAAGCATTCATTAATGCTTGGAATCCTCACATCTTAATTTGGCCATCAATATTTAATAAAAATCACCCATGAATGAGATATCAGCCAGTGAGCCTGCAGTGTAAGCTGACGGCTCGGATACATTTTGTACTGACGGAATTTTCCAGTTTTTAAAGTAAGCACAATGCAGTAAATCAAAAGTCAGTACAAACCAAACTGATTGTTTCCGCCTTTGTTCACAGTCACGTGTGTTATGGGGGCATGCGTGTTGTTTCGGGTCTTCCGTGACGTCAACCTCCGGCATGTCATACGTCACTTGAAAAGTAGGCTGTCCGAAAATTGGATAAAGCCAATTAATCGAGACTGGGAATGAACCCAAAAAAACACTGCCATACACCGAGCGAAAAAAACAAACCAACAAAAGCTGAACGAGTCTTTCCTGCAAACTAAGCAACTCAACACCGTACATCTACCGAGGCGCTGCAATAGAAAAACTGCAACTCTATATCGGTTTTCAAAGCAATATATTCTATAATTACTGTATATTACATATATATTTTTGATTGAACCACAATTGAACCATTCACTGACTGCACCTGTGTATTTTGGTGAGAGAGACTCTCTGCGCTTTGCTTTCTTGTCAGAGGTTCATATAAAAAGTATAAGTATCCATATTTAGAGTCAGTCAATTCTGATTGTGTTGCTCGGCATGGTACCGGCTGTGTAGCCAACATATTGGGTGCTTGCAAGACATGTTGGATTTTCACTTAACTTGCACTTAAAGCAGCAGAGTAAATCACGCAGCGCTGTTGGCACAAAGTACTTAATTGTTGTTGGGTTGTTTTTTTTTTTTTTTTTTTGTTTTTTTTTTTTCATACCAACATAATTCATCTGAGTCTGACAGCTGAATGGCTGCGCTGATGTGCCGAGTGATGGACCATCTGTATGTTTGCCTCGTTCTCTGCAGCTATTTCAGTGCCGCCTTGTTTCCATACCGATGCCATCTGAGTCCAATGATTTGTTGCCACAACTCTTGCGCGAGATTGCAGAATGCCTCCAAGCAAAGACAAAATACTACTGCTACTACTACTGGTACCAATAATAACAATGATAATAATAATAATAATAATAATAATCATAAAGAACAATTTAACACAATGGCTCATTTAATTCGCAATTACCGCACCCCCCTGTGTGGAAATGAATTGCCATTTTAATGTTGTTTTCAATCTTTCTTCCAGTCAGAGATGTGCTTTTGGGCCACAGATCACGGCTCTTATGTAGAAGGTGGTCTCTCGAGAAGCAACTTACTTACGGAAACACCATTAAATGACACTGTTCTCATTATGTTGTGCACAAACACTATTTGGACAGCCAGACAGAAGTAGGTTGGAGTAAATAGGAAGATGGGTCATGTTTATTGGTCATGCACAGGATTTGGTTCTGTTGTGTGGCAGCTCGAGAGATTTCTTATGAGTGTTTCACCATTCTTGGTCGTCAAAAGTATTGTCTCTAGGTGTCAACGCCGGAACTCTCACTTTCTCATGAAGGCTAAGATGTTTGTCATGATGTTAAAGTTCAATACATGTCCCCTTTTCAGCTGTCCACAGTTGCAATTTCCAATGTTTCTTTCTAGGATTACCGTATTTTCCACACTATAAGGCGCACCTAAAAGCCTTCAATTTTCTCAAATGCCGACAGTGCGCCTTATATATGGATCAATATTCTGATTTCTTGGATGTAGTATTTTAAATGTTCTGTAAAGCGCTTTATTACAGCTGCAGCGGTTGTGAAAGCGCGATATAAGTAAAGATGGATTGTATTGTATTGTATTCCCTTTAGCGTAGCTCCATCTAGCGGATGCAGAATGTAACCTCAGCCACTATTGTAGTTTCTATTCTATACGCCTTATAATGTGGTGTACCCTATATATGAAAACAGTTTTAAAATCGGCCATTCGTTGAAGGTGTGCCTTATACTCCAAAACCCCTTAAAGTGTGGAAAATACTGTACAGTTTAACTTACAAATAATTAAAATAAAATTTGCTCTGCATATTTAATAAAAAGCCACCAGAGATTTACAAGAGCTGAATACATCCTGTAAATCAGATTCTCGGGTATATGCCCTACTGCAGTGTTGAGTTATTTTCTTGAGGTGTATTATTCCTTTTCAAAGCAAGAGCCTTATGAATTTTTATTTGCCAGTTGACATAAAATGTTGATTTTGCTTTTGATTCAGAGATTGATTGGAGTGTTCATCCCTCCTGGTCGTGCTCGGATAATTTAATAACATTTTATTTAAAAATGGAAAAATACAATTGATTTGGGTTATGGTTTTTTTTTTTTTTTTTTTTTTTTTACCCTCTGCCCCCTAAAAAAGGAGATGTTTTGTACTAAATAACTCTGGTTGTTTATAGGTTATTCACTTCATAAATAACCCCAAAAATTGGGTTGACCCTTTTTTTGTGTATATTCCTAGCTAAATACATGCTTTTAGTGATATGCTGGTTGGAAATTCCATTCTAATGCAGCATGAAATCAATTAAAAAAAAAAAAACAGTGTGATTGAATATATTTGTGGTAGCTAAGGTGAGAGCTTGGTCAGTTGTAATTTAAAGTTTTTCATTTTAGTGCTTTTCTTCTATGTCAATAACTAAAAATAAGGTCAAAGTTCACATTTTTAGATTCAGTGAATATCTTCTCCCAATGCTTTGCTCCTTGAATGCTTTAGAAATATTGGGGTCAAAAACAAGAACGCTCTGGATTGAAAAGGCTAATCCGACTGGGATTTCGAATAGAAGAGGTAAAGGGTTCATGCTTCATGCTGGAAGTCTGCCAGGTGGATATTTTAAACAAACGTTGACGAATGATTTACATCAACAATAAAAAACCCATTTGGTGTTAAAAGCGATTTGAGCAAAGGTATTTTCAGATCGTTTCATACAACAGCGTGTCCCAGGAAGATAATTGGTGTCATATAAAAGATTGACAGCTATGGTTTCTCATCTAATTGCTTCCTTGTATTTGCCTTCCCTCGCAGTCCGACTGACAACTTACATGGGTCAGCGAGGAGAAAGAATGGTGCTTCACTGGAGTCGACAGGTTGCCACGCGCCCTCGTGACGCCCTGAAATATGGCCGCCGGGCGTGGGGGAATTAGCGGCATCACGAGAGGCCGCTTTGAAAGCTTCAAACTTACTGTGAGACGGTCGCATACGAGCGCTTTGATCAGCCTCCGTTCTCGGACATGGCTGCGGGGAGCCTGGACCCTCGACTCTATTCCACCTGACTGCTGCTGGATGAGCCCACTTCCTGGAAATAAGCTCCGCCGCAAATTAGCCTCACTCACACATGCTTCACTGCATTGCTCTGCCTCCTCGCACGCTTCATCCGGCGATGAACATCAGGTAGTACACATCACACGATCACTGTAGTTAGTGCAGCTCAACTTAGAAATTGATTTCATTGGACTTATCCCAATGTAGAGTACAGTGGTTCCTTGAGATTCACGTGACCCAATAATATAAATATGTTTGTCATGTCGATATATATATATATTTTTTTTTTTGCTTTGACTTACAAGTGTAAACTTAACCCTTTCAGGGACAGCGGCTACTACAATGTGGACAGCTTATCATGTTATCAGGTTAGAATGTGCATGAAAGGGTTCAGGTACGAGATCTGTATGATGGCAGTGAACTCAACTCATTTTACAACGAGCAGCAGTTTGGCACATTGTGAGCAGTTCTTCTTTTTCAACAACAACAAAAAAAGAAGCTCCAAGTTGTTTAATGCCTCTCCCGGTTACTATCAAACTAAACATAAAACAAACCGAATTACATGTTGTGTATGAAAACAATGGAACAATTTAGCCTGAAGATGTCCTCCTAGCTTAAGGCGAACACATCATGGAAAACACAATTGTTAACAGGATAACAGGGCATGTTTGGAAATTCACTCTGACACGACTCTGAAATTGTGTGTGTGTTCGGAGAGACAAGAGTGCGCTCCCCTCCCATTAATTTATGCACGCAGCCCATGTTCTAAACCAATCAGTGGCTCGTGCTTCAACTGTTCCCATCTGTACTGTCTGACACACTGGCGCTCCGTGTCCCCAGTTGGAGTGCCTTTAGTGTCGGAATAACCAAACGGCACATTTGAATTTCTGAATGGTCGGAGTGAGCCAGTTCGCTCCCATTAGACATAACAATAAACAGCAAATCATGCACTCGAAGTGTCGAGTATATAACGATGACTTTCATCTCCAATGTCCACAATGCAACGACGTGACAATGGCACAGAACCACTTTGTTCAAAATCGAACCTGATTCGTAAAAACAAGTCATGCCCAGCCGATGTGTGCACTATCTGTATTGGTAATGCAGTGTTGTTGTCTAATAGCTTCTTGTTGTCTACTTCCTTGTCAAACCTTGAGGGGAGCATGCTGATAGTATTAGTCCAGTCCGGTTCTTTTAGCTGTATACGTGCTAGAATAACATTCACTTCTAACCACATTATGAGAAATGTAATTTGGTACGATTTCGGTGGGACTGACACGTTTACATGTTCTGTACCTTAGAAGCCCAGACACACATACCCGGTGATTTGATTTCCTCTGTCCTGTAAGTGCACTAAATATTAACCCTTCTGACTGTGAGTGCAAAGGGTGTCTTGCTTCACTTCTGTCCGGCAAATGTAAACAAAAATTCAAAGTGGGTAAGACTGCATTGACTTTTCAGTTCTGCGCGAAACAAACGCCAGACTGGTCTAATGAGATGTCAAAAATATGGATTCATGCTTGTGCTGCACTGACACTTCATAACAATACTTGTATGTTTTGTTACTTCAGACCTTCACTTCATTGAGTCTTTAGTCTCTCAGCAAGTGGTCTGAGTCAGTGCATGGATATCTATCTTATCCCCTAATAGCTGACCTAGCTCAGTATGTTGCCTTAACTCACAACTCTTTCATTTCTCTTTGCACAAAGCGGAGACAACCAGCTTTAAAACATTCTGTGTGGCCCATCCCTTCAATAGGAATCGAGTTATGTTCCCATCAAGCAAACCCGTGTCTTGTACCGAACGGGCCCGGCGATTTACAAAGTCACGATTTGATTACTGTCTTGCGTTGACGGAGATCCATTTGAGGGTGCAGCGTGGCGGAATTCCAATATGGACGCCCTCCAGCTATCGACCCCGTCTTTGTAAGTGGTCGCCATGCTTTTAGTGCGTGCTCGTCCGTTGTTGTTGACCGTCTTCTGCCTCCCGGCAGCTGGGCAATACTAATACTGGTGCCCTGCATCGAATCCTTCTCCTGGCTCATCCATTATTGACGAGTCAGAGAATGTGAATAGCCTACTTTTTGAGTCAAGATAACGGATAAGACATTTTACAATGCCCTTGCCTCGCAATGATGGACAGCTGAATGAAATTATGTTGACCTGATTGAGTGATACCTGCCAAACACAAAGAAAGAAAATTTGGAAATATTCAGACTGCCGTGAAACGTTGTACAGTTTGGAAGTCAAACAATTATTTTTGTTTTCGAAAATAAATGCTTCTAAAGTTGCACTAAATGTTGGCATTACACCATGCAGGGCTTCAATTGAGTGGGCATCAGAATTTTGGTTTTTGCGCGGCTTTTTGTGACTTTTTTTGAGACACTTCAATAGAAAAAAACTCAACAGGAGCTGAATGAGAAGAAAAGCTAAATAACATTCTAATAAAAAAAATAGGAACTAAATAAGGAAAATATACACAGGAAATGATATGACATGAAGTAAGCGGACTTACATTCAAGTCACCACTGTATTTATAGAGCACTTCAAAACAACCACCGCTGTATATAAAGTGCTGTACATGGAGGAAAAATAATAAAACAATACATTAATAACAACGAGTAATAAATGATTTTGAAAATGGGAGAGACCCCCCCCCACCCCCCTCGGTTTTGAGTTTATCACATTTCCCGTGTTGTCACTCAGCATTTAAACGTGCCCAACTGTAAGTAAACGTGCCACCTTACACCAAATGCGGAAGTTTTGCGTGAATAGCTAAGCGTGTTCAGTGCCCCGCTTAAGACACCAGCATCACCGTACTTGTCATCGTTCTGTTCATTTTTGTATCTTGTCTGCTTCCATAATTAAAGTAATCTTTTATCTTCTCATTTTAATCATTTTACTGCAAGAAAAGGGTGTGAGTGGGATCAAGATGGCTGCCGTTGAGGATGATCCACGTTGACCTTTGTCGTCAGTGAAGCGACTTTGATAGTTTCAGTACTGACCCAAATTTCTCTACACTGTCATTAATCCTTTCAGGGACAGCGGTTACTACAGTGGACAACTTGTTATCAGGTTACAGATTATCATTATTGGTGCATGAAAGGGTTAATATGCAAATCTCCAAACATTGCCGGTATTTTTGTTTAATGAAAATTTGTTTCCGCCCCATCTGATCTTCAGAAGCCATATTTTCGGTGTCCAATTTTTTATTTTTTATTTTTTTAAGATTTCCTTCAGTTGGTCTTCTGTATTCTCCCTGGAATAGAACCTCCATACCTCTGACACTTGACAAACGACTTTCAGTATATCCATCGTAGCTTTATTTTGATAATGTGTTGCCCTCGTGTCCGTGTTTCCTTTTTCTTGCTCCTGTTGCCTCTTCATAGTTGAACACATTCCAGGCTTAGCCCTTTGGTATTCATCACATTCCTACTAGTGATTTTTGATTTTGGGATTTTGCCTCAGAATTTTGACAAAAGTCTCTGCCTCATTTCATTTTGATATGATTGAAATATTCAGACATTTTTTTTTGTTTTTTGTTTTTTTTTTGGGGCGGGTATCTAATGCCTGTCATTTAAATGATTACTCTTTGTACCTGCACATTTTCTAAACATTTTGTGCTTTCTGTTGCTAAACCTGTTTGGCGGACGATAATGATTTGATGACTGCGACAGTTTGCCAGATCATTTATATTGTCATTATATCTTATGCAACTGATTGAACATAGAACAAAGAAAATTGATGGATAGGTCTTGTGGCCGATAGCATTTCAATAATATATGCATGGTTCTGTTCGGGTATTATTTATCGCTAAAATCAAATGTAATTGATTGAAGTAGAGCAAACGAAAGGTGCCAAGAAAGACGACTCGAGACAGTTGTGTTGAATGCAGATGTTGTTCACATCTGTACCTATAGATGGCAGTCTTCCTACAGAAACTGGGCAGCAGTGGAGCGTGTCACTCATTTGCTTCCAATGTGTGGAATGGTGAGTGTCTCTGATACTACACAGGCTCCCTAAGGGTGCTTGAAATTCCTGAAATGGCTGGAATATTCCTGTTTCTGCTTGAATTCTAATAGCTGCTTGAACTTATCCTTTAATAATAAATAGTGTTCTGACTAAATGGTTAGTTTATAGGATGGGAAACTAAAATGTATTGGCATTGTATTGTAGCCTACTGTATTTTACTAGTATTATAAGATTGTCTTTGATGATTGCTTGGTACCACTTCTAACACTTCCTTGAGTGTCTCTTCATCAATATGTCATGAACAAATATTTGTGAGGACGGTGAGTAGCTTTGAGCGGTGGGGGTGGGGGGGGGACCCTCTCCATTTACTGTGCATGTAAATATGCTACACAACTTACAAGATGACTGTGTTTGGACCATGTATCCGCTGCATGCACCACATACACAGATCTACACTGTGTAATTTGACTGTTTGACGATGAAGTGCTGCCTCCTTGAGTTAAAATCTTTATGGGGCTCAAAGACAAGTCGGTCTGCCAATACAAGTAAGAAAAGTCATACAACCAGAAAGAGGTGGGGTGAGCATGAGAAGAACCGTAAAGTAAAATGTGCTGGAGATCTTCGCTAATTTGACAAAAGCATGTCACAGATATGTTATAAGGAAACTCGGTAACTGTCCTTTTAAGTCTTTTACTTATTCAAATACTCTTGCAACTATCGTGATGGGTGTTTCTTCACATATAAGGCTATCTATCCTGTTAGTTGTGTAGCAGCTCCAGCTGTCAGACTTAAATGCTGAATTGTCAATCTCTTCGATTCTTTTCATTTCAACCTCGAATGTGTTCAGTCTACATCAAAATTAAAAGAGTTGGCCTCCCTGTTCATATTAATTAATGGACAATTTAGAAAGGAATCTTTGATCAAACTAACATGCATGGTGTTTGGAATGTGGACGGAAGACAGACCTGGACACCCCCCCCCCCCTTCAATTGGATAGCGATGCACATTTCAAGTTGCATCTGATATCTGATTGTCCAAAGTCACATACATACATACATACATACATACATACATACATACATACATACATACATACATACATACATACATACATGTATGTGTGTGTGTGTTTACTTTATATCGGATGGTGCCGGGTGG